AATTCAGTCAGATTAGTGAGACTAGTTAAATCCAGACAAGTAGTGAAGGAAGTTAGCTGCAACATGGTGTAGGGGGCGTCAAATTCCATCTACCCAAATTGGGTAGCTGCCATATAGATGCTGAGAGTACTTGGGGAATCTGTTGACAAATCAACCCTATAAAAGCCCATGGGTCCATGCCTACTCTCTAAGAGAATAAACCTAGAGTTTTGTAGTTCTCAGATTCCATGGCTGGTCTGGAATCTCAAACCCTGTAATGGATAAGCAACTATATTATTGTCTAGGATTTCCAGCCCATCTTTGATACTAGATTCTGTCATCTCAAATAGATTAAATTTTTTCAATCCTAAAAAAGTCTGGACTTGAATATATAGATAATAAAGCAGATGAAACCAATTATATTAATACCTTTGGTTTTAGCTGAGGATAATATGTGTATAAATGTGATTTAAAGAATCTTCACATATTATATCTTAGCATTTTAAGCTGAAAAGTTTAAGAGAATTTGGTCAGGCCTGTAACGAGTATTGATTGAGATGTTTGGAATATTTAACAAAATTTGTTTTGACATGTTGTAGGGTATTTTTTGTTTGTTTGTTTGTTAGATTTGCTTATAAATCTGCCTACCCTGTCAAGCATTTAAGGTGGTTAAAGAACAGTCACATGAATATACATAACATAACTTAAAATAGTAAAAGTAGTGTAATCAAATTTGTGAATAGGATTTTTTTTTAAGATTTTATTTATTTATTTGACACAGACAGAGAGATCACAATTAGGCAGAGAATCAGGCAGAGAAGCAAGCTCCCGAGCAGGGAGCCTGACTCAGGGCTCGATCCCAGGCCGTGGGACCATGACCCTAGCCAAGGCAGAGGCTTAACTCACTGAGCCACTCAGGCGCTCCCATGAATAGGAGTTTTTAAGTTTAATTGCTGTTTTGGGTTACTCTAATATATTTTTTTTAAGATTTTATTTATTTATTTGACAGAGAGAGATCACAAGTAAGCAGAAAGGCAGGCAGAGAGAGAGGGGGAAGCAGGCTCCCCACTGAGCAGAGAGCCCGACGTGGGGCTCGATCCCAGGACCCTGAGACTATGACCTGAGCCAAGGGAGAGGCTTTAACCCACTGAGTCACCCAGGCACCCTGGGTTACTCTAATATTAAAAAGCAAGTGAAAGTGGTTGCTCTTATTTAATACAAAATTAGACTTATAAATCATAAAATAATTTTGAAGTTTGAAACAAAGGCTTAAAAGTTTGCTGCTTAAATTTGATCTTTAATAAATTGAAAAATTTAAAATCTAAAATACCATAAATAGCAGTTAATAACAAAAAGTACCCCAACCCCATTTAAAAACCTATGTAGTATTTTCTTGTACATGGATTGTCTTTCTGGCCGGAATGTAAGCTTTTTGAACAAAGGTATATAGATACGTATGTAAATATATAATCTCCATTATGTTGGTCACAATGCTATGCATCTAGTAGTTGATCAGTAAATATTAGGAAGAATGAATGATTAATTAGCAGATTCAGTATTTATTTCTCATGAAATTTTCTTAAAACCAGCCATATCATCACCACCACAGGCTACTTCTTGTGGGGCATCCTGACTGAGAGGGGGCCACTGCGAAAGAATTCACCCAGGGCAGAACAAAAGAGAAGTTTATTGAATATATTGCAAGGCAGACTGTCTACCACAAAATGGTGGTGAGGTACCACAATTACAGGGCGGAATGAGAGGGTATGGAATGTATGGAACTTTCCCCTTTTGGTAACTGCCCGGTTGTAACTAACCCATTGGTAAGTTAGGACCTACAGCGATTTCGAGGTGAGTGTCTTAATGAGCCTGTGTGTCACCGGAGTGGTCGCTATGAGTCATTTTGCCTCGCTCCTGTTTAAATTGCTCAAGCCTGTTGCCTCCCAGTGGCCTCTGCACTTCTCTGTAAAATACAGTAGGAATTAGTGAATGTCGTAACTATGACAATAGACTAAGAGATGTCTGTAGTTCCAACTGAGATGTGTCAATGGCCTCCATCCAAAGACAATAATAAATAACACACCTTCTGTAGTTGAACAAGTGGGATTTATACTTTTGCAGTGAGGGAGAACCCACATTATGGGCAGTCGTGAGCCATGAAGTGTCTCACTATGAGGGTGTTTCTCTTACTGAGACACTTCATGACTATGAATTTAATTTCAGAATTTGGGCTTTGGTTTGTTTTGGGGGAGTGGCTAAGAAAATGAGAATTTGTGTTAGATTAGATATGGTGAGGGAATTCCGTCAGTTGTGTAATTGGGTGTGTCACATCTTTGGGGAGGACTGACTAGAATGTGGATAAAGCTGTAATTGGTAAAGAAGTAGCAGTCATTCCTTCCAGCCAAGAGAGGTGGTGTTTGTGGGGTGGTTCAGAAAATGAAGAAATGGTTTTGCTTTCTCATTTTATCAGTCTGAGTAATCTTGTCTGAGGTTAGTAGTCTATGAGATTGTTTATGTCCAACAGGAGAATAATAATGGCCTGGCTAGAAGTATCAGGCCTGCTTTCAACGATCGGGCAATTTTTTGTTGTTGGTTTTTTTCCCCTTTCTTAGGTACTAGTAGAGGAGTGAGAGAAAAGTAAATGAATTCAAGAAGTATTTAGCATGCAAAGTGGATAGGACCGGATATGGGGGCAGAAGGTGATGTGTCAAGGGTGATTTCTAGGTTTCTGCCCTGCAAACAGAAAGGGTTGCAGTGCTAACCACTAAGATAGTACCAGCTTTGTGTTATCTTCTAATTTAATATTTACCTAAAATATGTGAAAAGTTGGTATTATCATACCCATGTAGAGATCGGAAATGAAGGCTGTAGAGAGGTTAATTATATCTTGCACACTGTCATGGAGAAATAGAATTCAAATTCAGGGTTGCTTGACTCAAGTCATATTGACTTGTCTTAAAAATCAAGATAAAATTCGCATAACATAAAATTTATATTTATAAATCCATTTATACATTCAGACACAGCTCTAAAATATACAAGTTTGTGGGTTTTAGTACATTCAGAATGTTTTGTAACCATCACCATTATTGAATTGTAGGCCATTTTCATTACCCCCAAAAGAAACTCTATATGCATTCATTCCCATGCCCTTTTCCCTCTTACCCCTTGCAACCACTAATCTTTTTTGTCTCTGTGGGGTTACAGGTTCTGGAGATTTCATGAGTGGAATAAAAAAATATATGGCATTTTGTGTCTGTCTTTCTTTCCACTGGCGCAATGTTTCCAAGATCTATCCACATTGTAGCGTGTCCCTACTTCATTCCTTTTTATGACTGAATAAAATACTGTTGTATGGATATCACACAATTATTTATCCACATATCACTTGATGGACATTGAATGTTTCCTTTTTTTTTTTTTTTTTTTTTTTTGCCTATTACGAATAATCCTGCTATAAATACTCACAGATGAGTTTTTATTTCAATGCATGCTTTTAATTTCTTGGATTTATACCTAGAAGTGGAATTTCTGGGTGATACAGTAATTCTGTGGTTCAGCTTTTGAGGAACCACCAAGCTATTTTCCATAGTAGCTGCACAATTTTACATGTCCACCGTTTAATAATATGGAAGGTTTCAGTTTCTCCATCCTTAGCAACATTGTAATGGTTTTTAATGTTGTTGATAGCCATGCTGTAATAGCATGAGTGGTATCTCATTGTGGCTTTGATTTGCATTTCCCTAAAGACTAAGGATGTTGAGCACCTTTCATGTGCTTATTAGCCATGCGGTTAACTTCTTTGGAGGAAGGTCTATTCAGGTCTTTTTGCCATTTTTAAATTAGTTTGTTTTTTGTTTTGAGTTGTAAGAGTTCTTGGTATATTCTGTCTACTAAAGTCTTACTAGGGGGTACCTAGGTGGCTCCAGTTGTTAAGCTTCTGCTTTTGGCTCAGGTCATGATCCCAGGGTTCTGGGACCAAGCCCCAAGTCGGGTTCCCTGCTCAGTGGGAAGCCTGCTTCTCCCTCTCCCACTCCCCCTGCTTGTGGTCCCTCTCTTACTGTGTCTGTCGCTGTCAAATAAATAAATAAAATCCTTAAAAAAATTATTTAAAAAAAAGTCTTACCAGGTATATTATTTGTCAATATTTTCTCCCATTATGCAAGTTTTCTTTTTGCTTCCTTGCCTGTCTTTTGATGCACAAAAGCTTTCAATTTTAAAGAAGTCCAATTTCTCTATTCCTTCTGTTGCTTGTGCTTTTGGTGTCATTTAAGGGACTTGGCCATATCCAAGGTCATGAAGATTTCCACCTATGTTTTCTTCTAAGGGTTTTATAATTTTAGTTCTTGCATGAAGGTATTTGATAAATTTTGAGTTAACTTTTGTATATGGTATATGGTAAGAGATCCAAATTCATTCTTTCACATAGAGATATCCAGTTGTCCCATCACAGTTTGTTGCAAAGGGTTATTCTTTCTCCTATTGATTGGTCCTGACACCCATTCGTATTTGTAAAACAACACAGTTGTGCACTCAACTTGTCTTGCAGATCTATTTATCTGCATTGCAAGGGTTGCCAGGTAATAATTGCTCAGTGATATGGTTATTTTGAATATTTTTCCATCGTCAAGGAGAGTTGTTACAGCGATATTCTCTGCCATGTTGCTCCCTACGTTTTGCAGGAGAAAACACTTTGTAATGAATGCTCTGTTATCCTTCTTTTCCAAATGTTATTTTCTTTTTACTACACTCTCCTACATAATGAGCATTTCTTTGAGAGGAGCATTGGATACATACAAAAAGTCAGAAACGTTGGCCTGGTTGACTTTGTTCAAGAGACCCACTGAGAGGACAGGTTTTTCTCAACATTGAATGAAGCAACTCCTTTCCAAGTGTTACCTAATTAAATGTGAAATTTGTGGTTGTGGTTTCTGACGTATGGACTTCTTTAAAAGGATCTATGTTTCCAGATGTGTTACTTGGCATCGGCTAACTTTTACAGTGTCTTCTTCACAGTCCTTATTCACTTTAAGATCCTTTATTATAAAATAGCCTGAAGGCGATCATGCATATTTCATACCAAGAGAAAGAACTGTTCTATGTACAAACATAAAGACATACCTGAGACAATGAAAACATACAGTACATGATTAGATATTAATGCCCTGGGAAGATGTTTGGGGGTTACAATCACCCAGATCCTTCCATTAGGAAGTTCTATATAGATCATGGACTGGTGTGAGTTTGTTCACTTGAAAGTGAACCCCAAAGGAAAAGAGTAGAAAAATCTATCACCAATATCATTGAAAATTCCGTATGAATCAGATAATAAAGGATACATATTATAAACATTTGATCTTCTCACCATGCTTTTACAGGTTTACCTTTTGTTTCCTCCCTGCCAGAGTCATAAAACATACTTTAGGTGCTCCCTGCAATTCTGTCATTTCCCAGTAGGGGGCGTTATTGCATTAAAAGCTGCGCCAGTTGCAGCATTACCCAGGTGGGCCTGTGTTCCTTCTGTACTTTAAAGACGGGGGTTTTGTTTGGTTTTGTTTTGTTTTTAACAAAGTCCTGTATATGAATATTTTCTCTCTAAACTCTTAAGGAAATGAGAGTTGAAGAAAAACAGAATGCTTGCAAGATTGTCTTTTTACCCACTGTCTTCAGAGATGATTCATCCTAAGTGACATTTCTTGGAGGATGATATCAAAGTCCCAAAGTACGAAATGCATCTCGTAAGTCATCAACCTCATACAGGGGCTGTAAAGAAAGAAATGAACTGAGTGGATGCATTTGTAACATTGTGGAAGGAAGGAAGTTGGGGGGAGTAGGAAGAGGACAGGAAGGAATTGTACCAGAAGGAAAACAGAATCCTGAGGAGAGTCCAACAGAGAGACTTGTGGGTGATGAAAAGAGGGAAAGAGAAGGGCATCTCGGCAGAGGGCTCTGAATTGTGAAACAGAAGCGCAAACTCAAATGTAGGAGAAGTAACTAAACATAAAGTAAGGTTTTCATCAGAGGAGAAATGGAGAGTGATACCCGCACACACATGCACTGTAATGTAAAAAACGTAAGAAAGGGAAATATAAGGAGCTCCAGGAAAAGATGACTTCGGAGGGAGAAAGAAAACGAGAAGCGAAGAAGCCCCTTACCAACAGAATGCGTCGAAGCTGTCTGGATAGTCGGACGGAATTTTCGTGCAACCCCTCCCAGGCTTTGAAAGTTTTTTCACGATTTTCCACAAAAGTATTCCAGCAATAAAAATAATCTTTAAAAAAGGAGGGGAATGGGGCAGATAGTTCAGATCCCAAATGGAGAGGAAAGAAAGAAAACCCTGCCCCCCCCTTAAATCTCATTTCCCACAAAGTCGAGTGTCCATGCCCTTAATTTTCTTCCTCCTATTCTAGTCAGTTTTGGGCTGAATCCCATCCCCCACCCTCCGATTTTTCTCCTGAATTACAGTCCCGACCAGATCCCCTTCGCACCTTTGAAGGTCATGATGGCTATCTGGACCCCCGCGCGGTGCAGCCGCCGCAGCCCCTCGGGCTCAGCCTTGCGGTCCTCGCAGAAGTAGAGGCGCGCGGTGAAGATCCTCAGGCTGAGGTTGGGGTACCCTCTCAGAAAGTCGGCCACGTGCCGGGCACAGTCGTAGCAGGGGCTCCAGGAGGTGAACCAGGTGACGCGGTAGCACCGGCCGGGGTCCAGGTCCCAGTCTGAGATGTAGCGGAGGAAGAGCAGCTCCACGTGGCAGCCCGACTGCGGACAGAGCAGGGGACTTGAGTGAGTGACGTTTAGTGACCTTTCCTGCGGCGCTGGCAGCTTTACGGCCACGAATTCATCTGCCTGCCACAGTCAGCTTTTTTAGGGTGTCTGCATTTGGGCCTTAGGGTTACAATAAGGCTGTGGGTTTTCTGTCGAACAGAGAAGCAGGAGGATGCGCTGGGTCGGCGGAAGTAGCATCAGGGTACCCCAGAGTTCTCAGTTGTGTCTGTTGCTGTAACATTTAGGAAATACACCGGACCACTAGGGGGCGGTAGGAAGCGTGGTTGAGGACTGGAAGGGGTAGAGGCCAACAGGGGTGTTGAAAGAGAGGTCACAGGACTGCTGTGGGTTCAGAACAATGAAATAATGTACTGGCTCATCGTATGATCCCTGTGATTGTAATAATCTCACAATAGTGAGGTATAGCAAGTCTGCCTAGTATGGCAGAGAAGTCATTAGTCCCAGATCTGAAGATCTAGGTTCCATTTCCTGGTGCCATCACTGAGGTGACTGGGACAACTCACCCAACTCTTGGCTCTTCTAAGTCCTCACCAGTAAAATGGGCTTGTATCGATTGTGAGGATTAAATGAGAAGGAAATGAAGGGTCGGTAACTGCAAAGCCTTCTCTACTTAGAATGTGTCTCATCACCGAACAGGAAAGAGATTAGAATGTAAAACAATTGCAGTGAGATAATTTACGCAAGACAAATGGAGGCAAAGGAAATTGAATAGTAAAATAAACACTTAACAGAGAGCCAGACAATGTCGGTCCACCTGTGGATTATGGATTCTTCCCTGGGATCCCACCAAAATCAGATGTTACTGCCTGTTTTGAGACAGGGAATACTCATTGGCAGAAGTTTACATAAGCCCATCTGGATATGGTGAAGTCGCTTGATGATGTAATTCTCTGATCTTCCAGATGCAATCTAGAGATTGATTGAATCAGTCAACCAATTGAGGCTTCCCTGAGTATTCTGGGTCTCACCATACTGAATGTACTCATCGGCCTGTGATATATGTGAGCAGGAGGGACTAGAAATCATTTGGAAAACAGAATTGAGTCATTATTTTTTGCTACTTTTTCCTTAACTTTCAAAAATTCTAAAAATTTGTTTTTTATTTAAATTTAGCTTGAATGAGCTGATAATATCCTTCCAAATCAAAATTTGGATTTCTTCCTTAATCTCAAAGGCAGTTAGGATGCTGAGGAAAGAGAAGGAAAGTTTGGGGGCAGTTACTCTTGGCATTGAAGCAAGGGGTGGCAGTAATGTGCCCAGCATAATTGGGGAGGACATGAAGTGGCATGCTGTGGGGGCATACTTATTGTGGTTTCCTGGACAGAAAGAATAAGATTTCTGAAATCTGGTGGAGACCTAAGTGTGAAACTGGCTGAAAGTAGTACTCTCTCTAGATGGTTCTAAAAGTGCCTGCCCTCTAGCTTGTAAGCAATTAACTGATACCTTGTTTCGAAGGTGACCGAAGTCCAGTGAAAAGGAGGTGGCACTATCCCGCCGCTTCACCACGTAGCACAAGTAGGTCTCATGGCGACCCTTAGCCCAGCGGACATTCTTGAAATGGTAAAGAAATTTCCTCTGCTTCATCAGGAGGCTGTGGGTGAGGAGAGGGAGGAACTTTCAGGAGCACCACTCACTCACCGCTCACTCCTGGCTTTCCTCCAGCTTTTTAAAAAATCTGTAATGATTTGAGCCACACCAGAGAAGATCCTCTTCCTTACTTTGCTGGATGCCTGAGACCTGCTGAACTTGGAACCCATTATAAACCCCTCTTCATGCTTATATTTAAGACCAGTTGAGGGCGCCTAGGTGGCTCAGTTGGTTAAGTGTCTGCCTTCCGCTCAGGTCATGATCCCAGTATCCTGGGATGGAGTCCCACATTGGGTCTTTGTTCAGTCGGGAACCTGCTTCTCCCTCTGCCTTCCACTCCCCCTGCTTGTGCTCTCTCCCTCTCTGACAAATAAATAAAATCTTAAAAAAAAAAATAAATTGAGACGTAGAACCTCCAAATGGTATGACATCATAGGATAGTCTCCTCCCATAGCTGTCTGTTACATGCTGACAACTTGGACTTAAAAACTTGTTCCTTAGTTCCATAATTTTTTCAAAGTTCCCCTCCAAACTCTGCCTAAATGTCCAGTATGTACTTCAAACCCAACATGGTCGAAACAGTAATTCCTAAACTGTCCTCTGTCCTGACTATCCTGTCTCTTTACTTTTCCATCTCAAATAATCAGGTGAAAAGCTTGGGCTTATCTTTGATTCTTCTCCTCCATATTTAATAGTCTAAATTTATTTATTCAAATCTCAATTTTTTTTTTTTAGTATTTTTTATTTTCTAAACCTCCAAATATTTCTGGTTCATATCTGCATTATTCCCTCTGCTTCAGTCTAAGCCCTCAATCTTCTTTAGGTTTATCTCTTGTCCTGGCTTTCTAAGCTGGTCTGGTTCCCCCCCAGTCCCTCCAAAAGAACATTCTTCGTACTGTGCCAGAGAGATCTCACAAAGACCCAGGTGTGACCATGTCATTTCTATGCCGAAAAGTCCCCAGTGAATCTCTTGTGCCTACAGGATAAATCCCAAACTCTAAGGTGGTATTTAGGCCAGTTTTTACATTTGATCATCAAATCGACATTTCTTGCTTCCTTTCCTGCTACTTTTCCGCCTTCCTTTCCCTATCTTCAAGTGCCTATGCAGCTGATGCCTTGGCACTAGTGTCTGATCCTGTGGTTTTTTTTTCTTTCCAGTCACCTAGCTGATGCACTTCCTCTCAGTGAATGCTTTCCTACCTTTTTCATTGGACAAAACTTATATATCCTTCAAATCCAGTTCACAATTCAACTGCTCTTTCTCACCACTGCTATAGCAAAATTTCTAGGCAAAAAACTGAACACTGACAGCAACAAAAACCCCTCCTGTAGCTTCATTCTCCAGTTTACCTAGTTTATCCTTGTCAAAGCTCTCATCATCTGTTACCAATTGATCACTGACATCTCTGTTTTCCCAATTGGATTTTCTGTGTTTTGAGGCAGAAAGTATCACTTTATGAGAAAAAAAGATAAAATAATTTTTTAAATTTAAATTTTAAAAATGTAATGATTTACAGTGTCTAATGATAATTCAATGTAGTATCTAATGACAATTATGTTAAAATTTTTTCTAGTCTTCTTATAGGCATGTTTACACGATTTTGATTATACTGATCTCATGCAGTTTTGCATCCTGCTGCTTTTTTAACTCGGCAACATAATGCATTACTTGTGTCGCCCACATGTGGGGACTGGTTGCTCTAATTTCCTTATGCCTAGCAGTGTTTTGCATGTCGTAAGCACTAAATTGAATTGAATTTGTGGAGATACTCTCAGCTAGCCAAAGTTTCTTTGCAGCTGTGGACGTAACACAGGCTATACAATGTGGTTGATACCAAAGCGCTAGTGATGTCTCTCTAGTTTTTGTCCCTAGTCTTTCCCAGAAATCTATTTACCAAGTTGTGGAGATAATGCTGCCACCTAATGGCATTGAGCAGAAGTGCAGTAAGCTCTTGAAACAAGCAAAGACCTAGGCGAGGATTTGAATACGGTTTGCTGGCAAGAGAATTGAAACTTTTTCGCCTTCATTTTTTTTTTTTATACATTGAGGTATAATTTACATACTTCACCCATTTAAAATGTGCAGTTTTATGAGTACTGGCGAATGTAAACACCCAAAACTGGAACCACAATTGGGACACAGAACATTTCCAGGGCACCCCTCCCCAAAATTTGCTTATTTCACATTTTCAATCAGTTCTTCCCCCGCTCCCTACACAACCACTAATCTTCTTTCTGTAACTACATTACTCTCCACTTCTAGAATTCCATATACATCTTACATTATCTCTTCCTTTGTGTCCAGCTTCTGGCACCTAGCATAATGAAGTCGAAATTCATTGGTTGTGTTGCATGTATCAGTAATTTGATCCTTTTTACTGCCGAGTAATATTCTATTGCATGGCCATAGCTCATTTACCTATCTGCCTGTAGATGGACATTTGGATTGTTTCCACTCTGGGGCTGTTGTGAAGAAAGCTTCTACAAAACACATACAGTCTTTGGGGGAGGACAGACGTTGAGAATTAATTTTAAAGCAATACATGTGATAGACCGTGAAGTTAAAAGTTAAATACCCAAGTGTCAACCTGATGAGTTAGGTAAGCAGGAACACACTTTTTATAGCTGTCTCAATTTAAATGTCGCGCTTCACACACAGGACGCTTACTGAAATACACTTTAAATCCTGAGGCAGGGAACTACATTAATCACCAGTATACACATTATACCAAACAATATGAAAATTGTTTAATCATATTGTTTTGGAATTCAGTTGGCAGGAATCTGACATGAATGCTAACAAAGATCTAATAAAGCTGTCTTTATTTCAAAATGATAATGTTGTTTTTGGGCAGCACATGTGCTAAAATTGGAATGATACAGAGAAGATTCGCATAGCCCCTGCGAAAACGACATGCAGATTCATGAAGAGTTCCATATTTTTTTTACCAAGATCATGAGTTTTGATGGGGAAAACATGCCAAGTTCTCATATACCAAAAAATAAAATAAAATAATTGTATATTAATTAACATAGCACTTACCACCATTACTGTTACTGTCAGGACATAATTTGCATATAATCATTAGCATAAATTGAATACATCATAAGTGCTTAATCAGTACTGAAGTAAAAGGGGAAAAAAATCTCTTGGGGCTCGGTTTTAAACAGATTAAGCATCATTCCTTACTGATAAATTTCTTTAAACAGTTAATCTACCCTTCTGGGCTGTATGTCTGAGAAAAGGGTGGAGGGTACTGTGTCAGGCAAAGCGGGTGTTTGGGGGGCGTCTGCTGTTGGGAGAAAGCAAAGGTGTTCTGGGAATATAGGAAAGGACATGGCACAGCTAAGGGAATTCAGATGGACTTTGGCTTTCCGCTCACACAAAAATCCATCATTACTGTTTCTTTCAGAAGTGACCAGTCACAGTGAAGCAAATGCCTACGACGTTTTAATTAACTTTCTTGGTCCCTCACTTTCCTTCAGCTGTAGCTAGGAGCCCATTTCAAGGACCTTGCTCTCTTAGTTTCTCTTCTGGGTACAAAGGACTTTGTAGGGGCAGTTTTTCAAGCTCACAGTTTGACAGCTGCTCTAGACAGCTGTGCTCCCTGAGGCAGAACCTGCTGCATCCCCAGCAATGCAAACTGGAGACAAATGGGTTAAAAATAATCGTGACCAAGTCCTCTCCTGTCCTGTGCCATCACTGATGCCCTTTGCAGATATTCTTTTCCCTAATGATAATTACATATTTCCCTTTTTCTCCTGTTGAATTTCATCTTTTCTCCTTGTTGCCTTTGAATTCCAACTATTAATCATTGCCTAGCATTTCATGTACAAATATTTTCACTGAACCCTTTACCTCTGACTTACACCTCAGATTAATTTTCGATCCCATTGCAAGCTGAGGAGACAGTTGACATTTTCGCCCTCAAGAAAATTTTCTGAAGAACATTAGTCTTCCATTAAAAATCGTAATTCTGGGGACACCTGGCTGACTCAGTCGGTGCAGCGTGCAACCCTTGATCTCAGGTTTGTGAGTTCAAGCCCCACGCTGGGTGTACAGATAGATTACTTAATAATACAATCTTTAAAAAAATTTAAAGAAATAAAAATCTTAATTCTGTAGTGTAAATTCTTTGTAAAAGTTAAATTGAGGTAAAGTTTATGGATTAAGTATTCTCATATTTTTTGTAATCATAAAAGTAGGAATAAAATAAGTTGTGATAATAACTTGTCATAAACTGCATGTGAAAACATTGTGTAAATCTTATTAAATGCATTTTAAGAAATATGTTAAGCGGGGTCTGAAGAAATTGAAAGACAAGCGGGGTCTGAAGAAATTGAAAGACTAGGTAGATAGTAAAAATGCCATTAACAGCCCAGTAATTGGAACTATAACATTAAATAACTTGACTGATTTTTTCTTCCCAGAATAGATATATACCATCATAGTGACTTTCAAGCAATTTTTAATATTGGCACTAAAAAATAATTTCCTTACTATGTAGCTGAATTATTCAGTATGTAGCTAAATTATTCAATAAAGGCTCCCCAGGAAGGTTTACAAAGTCCTTTTGCAGTTCAATATTTACAAAATTATTATTACAGTTTCTGCTACTGTTCTTAGTATACTGTATTCTTGTTATTACCTTTCCATGATCTGGATGTCTAAACACTTGCTATGTTAATATTACCATAAACTAGTTCTAACTGCAGTACGTGGCCATACGTGGCGCATGAGTTGAGTGTGGAAGAGAGACAGAACAGAGAATTAGGCAGAGAGCATGTAAGATCTGAACAGATGAGACAGCGCCTGAAAAAATAAATGCACATATTGACCAAGCAGTGAGTCAGATAGTGAGAGGAGAGAAAGGGATAGCTACCGATCTGAAAACTCAGATTTACTCTGAGAGAAAAGCCAGGGCAACCACCCATGAAGAGACTGCTTTACCTGTCCATAGTGGATTCCATAGTGTCTTTCTTAGTCTTAGGCATGGAAAGGCT